TACAGGAAAAGATCTGACGATCGTATAACGATCGAATCGTTTAATAGTTCCTTTGAAAAGTCAGGAAAAGCAAAGATCAAAGCGTCCGCTGGATGGTTTGACAAGTAGCGGACGCGATCAGTTTTCGTCTCTTTACCGGTAAGACCCCAATCTGTTTTACGAAATGCGCTGATACTAAACTTCCGAAAAAGTTGTCTTACTTCCAGGAAACCAACGGCCAATTCGACTTCAAGCAAGTTCAAGCCCGATTATTAATTTTTTAACTCAATTTTAGTCAGGGTTGCTAGAGTCTCATGCTCTTAGTATAGAATAGCGACTGAAAACGCTTGGAAAGTCAGTCCATGTTCGTTGAAGTGGGAAATTGCAACTCTTTCTGCCCAATTTTAATTTCTGTTATATTTTGACACGATTCTGTAGTTTAAGGTTGAAGCTTCCGATAGCTACAATCCTAATGCAAATTATTCGTATTCCATTGTCCAAGTTTACTTCCAATCCGTTTTTAAACTGAACTTTAGAAACTTACAATCTGGGATTTTTGTAGTTGCAATATCAAGTTTAAGCCAATTTGAAGCTTAGTATACTATTAATATATATCTATTATATATTATATAATTCAATCCCAGATTCAACCAAGCTGATGAGAGCGCACAGGCTTGAAATTGGTCTTGAGAGTGTCTCTGATTGAATAATCTCAAATATGTGCTATTTGCATATGAGCAAAATTCGACGGCTCTGATGATGCCGAAAGATTTACTTTTTCCTCAACATTGACTATTTGAAAACTTCAGCTTAAAGTTTGCAACTTGAAAATGAGTATTTAGAGCATAAAGCCCTTGTCCATGTTAGGGTTTAATATAGAGAGCATTCAAAACTGAAATGTGAAGATTAGAGGAGGATCTTTGTACTTTTTTGTACTTTACACTAATTTTGAAAATTCGACTATAAAAGTTACATTTTCTTTTGGAATTTAAAGTGGAAAAATTGTACTCAAATGTCTTTATTTAAAGTTAAGTTCGAAATTTGAGGCCTAATTGGAAATGTTGGTTCTAATTTTGATATTCGAGATGAAAGTTACATTTTCTTTTGGAATTTAAAGTGTCAAACTTGCACCATCAAAACCATCCAACTTTTCATTTTTTTAAATTTTATATGTTGAATTTTCTGGATTTTTCTCTGTTTGTTTAAATTAATTTTCATTTTGAAAATTTAAATCTAAATTGTCGGGATTTGCGTCATGAAATAAAAAATAATAAGCTTTCTAAACAAACTGTTTGTATTTACTGTTACTTTTGAATATTTGAGCTCAAAGTTGAAGAATTCTGAGCAAAGAACTACGAGCTTAAAGCTCAAAACCATTTAAAGAGTATTCAAATTATTAAAAATTAGAGGGAAAATTAATACAACATTCTCGGAAGATCAAAGAATTTCAATTTTAGGATTCCAATTTTAATTGTTTTGTCATTAAATGCAAACTCAACAAAGTTACATTTTCTTTTGAAATGTACACTGACAAACTCGCTAAACAAACTGTCCAACTTTTCTTTTTTTTTAATTTTATAGGTTGAATAAATTAATTTTCAATTTGCAAATTTAAATCTAAATTGTCGGGATTTGCGTCATGCATGAAGTAACAAATCAAAAACCTTTTAAACGACTTGCATACATATTTGCATTTACTGTTACTTTTAGATATTTGAGCTCAAAGTTGAAGAATTTTGAGCGATGTGAGAACTCCGATTTAAAGCGGAAAGCCGTTAGTATTAATCGTATTAAATCGTAAAAAAATTAAATCGAGTATTAAAAGTGAAAATTGGAGCGAAACATATATAAAATTTTCGGAACAAATAATTTCAATTTTAGGGTCCTAATTTTGATATTTTTTGTCATTAAATGCAAACTCAACAAGGGAACATTTTCTTCTGGAATTTAGACTGAAAGTCGCTAAACAAATGAATTGTTTGCACTTATTGTTACTTTTAGATATTTGAGCTCAAAGTTGAAGAAGTTTGAGCAATGTGAGAACTCCGAGCTTAAAGCTCAAAGCCATTTAACCAGTATTAAAATTGGAGTAAAACATATATAAAATTTTAAGAAGAACAAAGAATTTCAATTTTTGGGTCCCAATTTTATWTTTTTTGTCATTAAATGCACACTCAAGAAAGTTACATTTTCTTCCGGAATGTAGACTGACAAACTCGCTAAACAAACTTTTCATTTTTAAAAATTTGAGCTTAAAGCGTGAGAACTCTGAGCTCAACGCCATTTTGCGTCAAAGTCAATTTAAAGAGTATTAAAATTGAAAATTGGAGTGAAAAATATAACAWATATTTAGARCGGCAAAGAATTTAAATTTTAAGGCCTTAGATTTGAAACTATTTGTCATTAAATGCAAACTCCCAAAGTTTCTACACAAGCTGAGCGGTGTGTTAATTTTTTTAAGTTTCGGGGCTGAATGTCTTTTAATGTTTAGTCGAAGGTTCGGAAAATTGTTGATAGCAGGAAAATCAAGTTCGAATTTTCAATTTACAATTTCATTAATAAAACTGTAAAACTTAAGCCTTGGAGGTCTAAAATCGAATTTTCAAAATGGAAAGCATTTTGTTACATTTTCCCTTTCTACTATTTACTTCAGTACACTTGGAGTCTATTTTTCTGTTTAATGTGCCTCTTTTAAATTATTTAGAAATTTCATATGTAAAGTTACAAAGGAAATTGACAGTGCTCTTCTGTTCTTAGAGAAAGTATCGAGCTTAAGGCAGATTTAAAGTTATCATTCCGGTTCAAAGTTGAAATCGGATTTCAACAGCTGAAGCTAAAATGTCGACCGTGAATTTTGCCCTTGGAAGATTATTGTGAAAGCCAAATGTTTTCACGTTCCATACAAAAAAATGCTAGTAACTTTTGTGGGCGATTGTAACTTTTAACTACTTATTTTTAGTTAGCAGTTTAGAGTTGCAGGCTTTTCGGATATATTAGTTGAATAGTAAAACGTTTGTCTTAGAGTTTAACGATTGAGGTCAAAAATACGATTTTCAGCTTAAAATCTAACTGATATTTTCGTGTTTACAGCGAAATTTCAGTACTTACATGAGTATTTAAAAACTGGTGTTTAAAATCGAAATTTTGAGAACATACTTTGAGTTTTAAGATTTAAAGACGAACATCTCCACTAATTGAAACCGATGGCAAAATTTAGTCTTTCTACGTTTTCACTTTGAAGTGCGGAGTTTTTCAAACTTGCTTGATAAAGAGCGAAATCTGCACTTTAAAGCAAAAAAGTCGAACTTAAAATCGAGACTTTTCAATTAAAATTCGGAAATCTTAACGACACATAAAAATTAGTATTCCAATTTTTTCATTGTAGTGTGCAAATGCTGGATTATAGAAGCGCGAAAAGTGAAAACAGCGTTGAAGATTGAAAAGTTTCAATGTTAATTTATTTAATTTCAGAGTTTCGGTCCGAACTCGCGTTCAAAACAATCCAAAATGGGACTTACTAGCTTAAACGCAAATGGTCCACATGAAACCTAAAAATATGACTAAAAATAAAATAATTTTGTTGTTTTTCTACTCGCTAGCCTAAGCTTCTTAAGCTTGTATTATAAAACCGTACCTCAATGTTGAACAAGTTTGTCACTGGCAAGTAAATATGTGATTCAACAATTGCGTTTAAAATGGCAACTGTGAGAACCAACTTGAAGTTTCAAGAGGAAATTGCAAACAGAATTACACTAGAAATTTTCTTCCTTTAGCAGAAGAATAGAACATTAAAAAAATTAATCTCCACACTAAAATATTGAAAATTTAGACGTCGAGAGCTTTGAAGCACAAATGCAAAACTTCCATTAGAAAAAGGATTATGTACAGTAAAAATTATTGATTAAATTATTAATTATAAAAATATTGAAGATCTAAAGCCGTTTCAAGATGATGAAGTCTAGATTCTGCATCTTCATCACCCTGGAATTTATGTTTATCTATGAGTACCTACATATAGATATGTAATGATGTAAATCTATATGCGCATAACAATTTCAAGGATAAACTTTACGACATTGGATGGACGTGTGAAAATAAAAATCTCGAAAGATAACCGTTTCTCTACACGTAACTTCCACGAGTATCAAACCTTAAAAGAATGTGTTGATTGGACTTCTTATCTTTCAAGTACGCTTTAATTTGCAAAAGTCGTTTTGTTTATATACATACACTTTATAATGCATTTCCTACGGATCAATTCTGGAAAATTTGCAAATCTGACGTAACATTAACATACAAATGGAGATTTTTTTATAATATCTTTTAAACAGTTTTCATCTTTCTCATTCTCATATTATCATCAAATTCATATAGAATTAGTTGAAGATTTCGCTTGAGTTTTAGGTTTAACGGGAATTTTTACAGTGCATATTTTTAAATTTTTTGGGCATTTTATTTTCGCCAATATTTGCCTCAAACAACGGAAATAATGCAAGAACATGTAATTCATGGTTCCGGGAATACTTGTGCTCATCAGATGGGCTAACTTGCAAATAACACTTGGAAAACTTTTCCTTTATAGAACCCTTTTTAGAGCACCCACAACTTTTTTGTTTTTAGGAAAAATGCACAAAAAACACAGACTGAAAGAACACAAAACAGATTTTTAAGCCGAAAATAACCCTGAACTAGACAGAGGAAGCAAAGAAGTAAATATTAAAGTTAATGAAAAACTTAAAAAAATTAAGTTCTCTCGACTGTGATCAGCTTCATAAGAATATTACTGCAAATTTGTATTATTCTTAATAAACATTATCGTCAAAATATAAAAATTAGAGAGCAAAGAACTGAATGGGATTAATAAATATTTATTGAGAAAAAATGTAGTAAGATCCTCATCCTATTAGAAGAAAATAAAACAATTCTGATGGTAACTGTCCGTCCGTAGCAGAACACCAAAGCATCAGCAGTTATTTCTGGAAACAAAGTGAGTGAAGTAGAAGGTCTTAAAACAACATTCGTAAAATATCCCCGTTTTTAATACAATAAATTACAATGTAGAATCAATGCAAGATTTAACTTCTTCCAGCAACCTGGTGAGGTCCTCCTCATAGTTGCTTTGGTTCAGTTGAGCCAGATCCAGTTGCGCTCCCAGTTTGATTAAAACGGCCTCATTGGCGATCGCAATAGCTCCATCTAAGTCTTTGACAATATTTTCGTAAAACGCCACGACTTCAACGTTAAGTTCACTGGCGCATCTGGTGTCCAGGCACATGTCCACTCTTCTCTTGAACATTTCGAGTTGCTCCAAAGCATCAGCAGTCACATTGAGAGCCCGTTCCAGTTCATCTTCAGCCTCCTGCTCCAACTGTGCGTGAGTTGAGGTTATCGATGCCACAAGATCCTTGTCGATGAGCTGCAGTTCTATCTGGGCAATTTCCGCACATCCACTAATGTCTTTGTCTGAATGGAACAGTTGCTTATTGTCGCATGTTTCGTGCAATATTTGAGGGTCAATTCCTACCAGGATGTTCTTCTTCGAGTGCTTTGATCTGCTGCTGGAATCCTCTGTTTGCTTCTTGAATATCACTAGCCAACTTCGCTTCGGCGTCGCTTACCAAAATGGTCAGAGGCTCGAAGAGATTGCGGATTTCCTGCTCGGATGCATTTTGGCGAACTTTCAAGTCCTCCTCTATGGTGTTCCATATCAAGTGCAATTCGTCGGGATTTATTGCCAGGGTCTAGACGATCAGAGAGGCTTGACGTATTTTTTTCAACTAAATATATGGACTTACCGCTGAAGCAACAAAGGCAGCAACTGTGGCCAGCAACACAGCTAGTTTAAGCATTTTAGTAGCTGTACTTTGTTGCGTAAAACAATGGCTCAGCGACGGAATTACGCTGACGTTATGGAAATAATACGTGGGATCGACTTTGAAGAGTATGGGGAGATAAGGAAGTATGCGATTTAAAATTTATCACAGGAAATGTTTCGCATTTCGTCTCAAGTGGGTAGTTGAATTGGAATGTTCTGGAAATCGTGCGTTGAAGACGGATTTTGGATATGGGCTTTAGCTAGTTTTTCACCCAGGCAAGATTCTGGAAATGTATTAAGCAGTTCAAGGGCTAAGAGCAAGATTTAGGACTAAGCACTCCAAGTCCAATTGCAACAGGTCATGTTGAAGCCAAGGTTTTGCTCAAGGAGATGCTACTCAAACCAAATCGACCAAATCTGGTTGTTGGAACAGCACGAAAGTTAACAATTTATATAAATGTTCTCTAGTCGTTTTTTTGCAAATCAAAGTTCCTCAACAAAGTATTTCTGAGTATTTGAAGAAACTGAGCTTCATGTTCTAGACTCTAACGCACATCATGGTTTTCATTTCTTGTTGTGATTAACGTTTTACACCAAACAGTGTGCTGATATGATCAATATAGATAAAAATCCAACATATAGCAATGGCGTGCTCATATAGAAGCAGATTTTTTATACTAAAATGATCTGACTGCACTTGAAAAAGATGAGACTCGGATACTGCATCCCAAACAATGAATTTTGAATTCCACAGATAATGAACTGATGTTTTTGCCATTGAATTCATTCTTTATCTGCGCTTCTCTCTTGAAGATGAGTACTATAAATGATACGGATTTGACCACTACATTCATTCGCAGTTCTAAGCTTGAAGTCGCAAAAAGCAGTCCAAACATGTTTAAGTTCCCAGTTGTGCTCTTCGCGCTTGCTGCCTTTGCAGCTTCAGCTGTAAGTGACAATTCAACAAGACGTTCGTCATCAAGAAGCCGAGTTGGAAATTCACAACCTTTTTGATCCTCTGCATATTTTGGTTGGTGACGCGAAAGAAACCTTATCCAGCGACCTCCGTGAAGCCAACGAGAAAATCAAAGAAGAAATCAGGAGGATCGAAGACGAACCTTATGATATGCTATTGTATTTTTGGCCAGATTGGGGAAAATAGTGAACACATTTATTTTGATTTCTTCTCCTTTAGGTCACGACATTTCTCAGTGCATCCAATCAGCTGAAGAAGAACTGAAACGGGTTCACGATGAATTCATCAAGAGCACCTGAAAGCCTTTGGAAGATAATTGAAAAATAATTAGTACATTTTTATTAGAAGGTGACAAAATGATTTGAAAAGGGGAACAAACAGCACACAGTCAGTGGTAATGAGCAAATAAAAAACAACTAAGAACAAGCAGCAAATCGTAGTGGTTGAATAATTTCATAGTTTATTAATTAGTTAATTTATCGGTCGTTTTTTGCTATTTCATGCATTCTATTAAGGCTAATCTCATGTAGTCGAAGATGGAATACATGCTAGCAGTTTGAATAAAACCGTGTATGCTTTTTTTCAGTAAAACATTTTTTATTCACTCAAAAATTGCTCGTTAATCTGCGTTACTTGTAAACAGAATTCAGTTGAGCATTTACTCTGATTAAAATAAGTCATTTAGGTAGCGGGTTCTTTCCCGAAGACCATTAACGTTTTTTCCAAAACCGATCACAAAACTAAAAGTTTTTAATCGAAAACGCAGAAAAATATAATTTTCTGATGATTCTCTTCGTTTTGGACAATGATGGTGTAGATAAGTTTTATATTGTTGAGGGGGATTCATTTTTTTACAAACTTCTTGTTGGGTATTTCGCATAAAACATTTTTTAACAACAACTTAAAAAAAACATAATTTTCTCACGTCTATATAAATATATATATAAATTATTGGGAAAATTCGCCGCCCTCATCGCTCTGAGGATTTCTAAAGTTTCTTTAAATTTTCAGGTCATTGCAGTTTTAGCAAAGTTTCTATTAAGCAATTCTTTCTACGCAAAAACCGTAGTATTTTTTAGTTAGTTAGCAATCTTCAGGTATTTACTGTGAAAAATTACAAGATACATTTTATTAGAACACTTGCCTCCTTAACCGTTGTGCAAAAATGTTTGGAAAACATTTTGCAGCTTCGAATTGTGGACAAACCCCTAATAATTATTTCGAGGCCTTTTCCAAAAATAAATCCCCCGAACTGAAAAATCGAAAGTTTAAACTCATTTGTTTGGAAAACTCTTGAAAACTTGAGTTTTTTAACTTTTAGGTCAATATTTCTAAAAACACTGTCTCTAATAAAAAAACGCCTTTTTCCTAACGTTTTACTGTAAAATACTGGCAAGCTGAATCTTTTATGCCAAAAAATTAACAGATCGATTTTACAAGAAAACTCGTCGACTTTCTTTGGACTCAGTTCTGTTGCAAGGAAAATCTCCATGACTTTTTTTAGTTCTTTGAACAAACTAGTAAAACGTTTTTCAGAAAACCCATTTTTCATGTGAAAATTCCAGTCTCGGGTCTCGTAAAGCTTTAACAAATGAATTATAACTCATTAACCGATGAGTAATAACACGTTAACTCAGAGAGCGGCAACAACTCAATAGCGCAACTCAACACAGTATTACCCGGGACCATGCAGAAAACATTCAGAATAGGGATTCGCAAGGAAACATTTGTGAAGGAGAGGAGCAAATTTTCTTTAAGGAAGCAGGAAAATGTGTTCGTAAAAGAAACAGAATCGCGAGTAATGATTAGCGTCTAAGTTAGAAAAGAAAATTCGTCATTAGTCTTTTCATGTTCAGAAGTGTATTAATGTTTGGTCAAAATTTATTTTTTAAAACGAATTCTCAATCAGTAGGTATCATGATAGTAACTGAAAATGTCACTGAAACACCCTTCAAGAAAACAGAATAGGAAACCTTTCAAATGAACATTCAAGAAAATCTTGCTAAACATCTGCAAAACACAATAAGGAATTCGAAAAATGTCCCACATACCACATGCAAAACACTTAAAAAATTATAGATATTACGACTCGATTACCGAGATTACCAAGAACTCATTACGAGGAGCCAAGGAATGAAGGAAAGTACAAGATGACAGTAGCAAACACGCAATCCTAACCAAAAGGACAACAAAGTAAAGCACAGTTAAAACGTGAAATTGACAGATTCCAACAAACTTGTTAGATTTTCGCCTTCAGAGCTAAAACAAGCTAAAACATGAAAGAAAGACAAGGAAGTCAATTTTGATCAAAGTATAAAAAATTATACTTCTTACGTGTAGCTACTTTCCAGGTTCAAATTGGGGCTGCAGCCAAAGAAAGAAGGAATGCAAGAAGATGATAGTAGCAAAAACGCCATCTTAACCGTAAGGACAATATAATAAAACACAGAAGATATAACGGGAAATTGGCAGATTCCAGAAGAATCCTTAGACTCTAGTCTTAAAGAACACTACAGAAAGTCAAGAGAAACAATTGTGACAATACGAAATTGCACATGTTCTGGGTCAATTATCCAGGTTGAAATTGGGCTGGACAAAAAGTAGCAAAGCAAGAAGATGATAGTAACAAACACGCCATAAGGACAATATAGAAAAACACAGAAGTTAAAACATGGAATTGAAAGTTTCTGGTACTCCCAAATTGAATTAATTACTGAAAAAAGCTGCAATCTTCAGCTACAAACTCATCAACGCTCTCCAGCCTGGTAAATCTGTATTCTTTTTCTTTAGCCTCTTCCAATGATTTCCTAGTCGACTTTTGCTGGGCGGTTTGAATCCAGTTTCTTCCTGCATGTCGTTGGATGTCGTCTCTCCATCTCGCCTGCGGACCACCGAGTCTACTTTTTGATATTCTTGAACGCCACTGTATTAGTTCTTTGGTCCATTTCTGATTGTTCCTGCCCAAAGCCACTTTGAACTCGCTTTTTGCCGGACAACATCCCAAACTCTTGTTTTTATCTAATCTCCTCACTTCTGATCGTGCCTCTTAGGCTCACTCCGAGCGCTGCTCTCTTCATTGCTCTTTCACAGACGATTGGTACTGCCTACGGTGAGTGTTACTGTTTAAGTTAAACCTTATTTTTTAAATGAATTGGAATAATTAGGCTGGAAGGATGTGACCAAGATTTCCAAATGCCATCCAGATGAGTTTGATTCCTCTGGTGATCTCTGATGTCTGATTTCCCTTTTCAAGTTGGATACTGTGTCCCAGGTATGTACTGCTTGACCACTTCCGAATCATAATAATCGACAGAGACATTTATAGTTTCAGGGCTCATAAGATAGGTCTTTTGAAGGCTCTTTTCGAGGCCCACAGCTTGGGAATCTCGAGCATCTCTGAATCTCTGAGTTCCTGGGTCATTGTTGCCAGTTCATTTGGGTCCCTGCTGAATAAAATTACATTATTAAATCGAAGGTGGTTGAGGCGCTTCAAAACTTTTCCCACGATTAACACTTGAATGCGTCTTCTAGAGCTATGGTAAAAAACTTAGGTGATATTGTGTCTCCCTGTCTAACGCCCATTTGTACCGGAATCTTTCCAGTGGTCCAGTCTTCGTTGATTTTTACACGCGGGCTGGCATTTTCGTAGATGTATCGGAGTAATTTGTTGTATTTGCAGTCTACGCGGGCTCTATTCATCGCCCTTACCACTTTCCAGGTTTCGATCGAGTTGAACTCCTTTTAGGGTAGTGAAAGCCATGTGTCTGGATTTGATCAACGGAGCTGTAACCTTTTCGGAAACCCGCAGGTTCGACTAGTTGGTAGAAATAAATCAAATTTCTGGCTTGGACGGTTTGAGATGAGTTTCATTAGCAGCTTATAGAAGACCGATAATAGACCAATTGGTCTATAATTCTCGATGTTCGTGTTGTCGCCTTTTGTGAAGAGAAGAATGACCTCTGTATTATTCCAAGAATCTGAAATCCTACCTTCGTCGAGACATTTATTCAATAATATTATGAGTGCTTCCTCTCACTCTGTCTCCCCCGATCTTGAATATTTGGTTTGTGATTTGACTTTCTCCTGGCGCCTTACAATTTTTGATTTGCTTCAGAGCTGCCTCCATTTCACTATTGTCGATAGGTTCCAGTTCCTCTGATCCCACGTTCATAGTATATTTTGGTAGGTCAGCTTGATTTGCGTTTGGGTTTACTATTAACTGACTATAAATGCTCCTATAAAATTCCTCGACTGGTTTTAAAACCTTTCAGTAACAACTTCTCCTCGACTATGCCGCATGGTATAGATACTAAGTCTGCCTGAGAGTTTCTTCTATCAGTTTTATACTTTGCGTCCTGTGATCTCCTCTACTTGCCTTCCTAAAAAAGTATTTCTGTGAGTCTCTGTTGGCGTCTGCCCCCTTTCATAAGTTGTTCTGTTTTCAAGCTCACTTTCGAATTATTTTGTCTTTGTAATGTATTGACTTTCTTTATTGCTGTTCGAATACTGCTGGTAATTCTTGTCTAGAGTTCGTTCAGTTCCAGTTCTCTTAACTGTTCTGTTGGTACTCTGTTCTTGTTTATGCAACTGCTAACCTGATCCTTTTTTTGTCCACGCTTTAGTAAAAGAATAAAAATGGCAATTGTATCTCTACTAATAAAAGAAAAAGACGTTATGTCAAGGATTTTATTAAATAAAAGCAAACAAATTAATAAGATCTACAGAATTAAGGAGGAAGCTTATTGGTAAGTGATTTGGGAGATTAACCTTATTTATCAGAAATTTGATCCCCCAGAAAAACTAAGCCCGTTCATGGCTTATAAATTTGATTTCTGAGGGTATGCAAACATCCTCAAGATCCGCAGTGTGCAGAATAAAGCACCAGGGTTTGTGTTCGTCCATATTGCACTTGTGAAAGGGCCAATAAAACTCCTAATGTTTCATGAATTATTGGTAAAAAGTTGTTATGGATATGGATGTCAAATATTGACCAGGACAAACCCTGGTGCTTTATTCTGCACTGCGGATCTTGTGGATGTTTGCATACCTAAAGAATTCAACTTCATAAGCCATGAATCTCATGTCTCATCTCAATGTCTGAGGTTCTCGAACAGACTCAAATGTATGTTTATTTGTAATTTGTAAACAAATTAATAATTCAAGGTTATGAGGACAATAATTTACATTTCGAAAAAGCACGTTCCGTCATTCAACGATTCCTGTTGAATTTACCGTTTATCTTTGTCTTTTTTATTGTCACTTTCTGCATAAAGCCATGGTTACCGGAGTTTCTAATAATTACGAAGCAACAGGTTTTTACGTAATGTTAATTAAGCAGCTTACCTTGAAAAACATTGTTGCCGTCTTTCTAATATAGGTTTTTGCAAATTTCTCATTTTTTAATAACAATTAATTTTTTTAACTATTTTTTCTGTACTCCTATAACAGCGCCAGACAACACCTCTAGAGGAATGACGCCAATTTTGCATTTTCATCCCGTATATTTGCTTTAGTCCTTTTAAAGCTGCATCAAGAGTAATTGTTTTTTAAGTTTCAGTAGATAAAATGAAACTGAGACGACTTCTATTAGCACATATTAAACAGTTGTAGCTAGTATGTGCCTCTCTCTTGTCCGCTTGGTCAATAATATTTTCAATTTGTCTACGCTTAACAAAAGTGGAAACATCCTTATTTTAGAAAAGATTTTGGCATTCAACATCACAATTAGTTGATATTTGGTGATACCTCAAATCTGAAATATTCATGTTTTTTGTATCTTGAAAAGCATCAACATTCTATAACAGTTATCTACATTTCATCCCAAATTTTAAAATTCCATAGATAAAGGACCAATATTTTCAAAGATCGCATTCTTTCCTTTTATCGGCATCAGACTCTTGAAGTTGTGTATATAATATACAGATGTGGGCACAGTATTCATTTGTAGGCCCGACCTGGAAATTCGAAAGCACTAAAATTCCAACCATGTTCAAGTTCCTAGTTGTGCTTTCTGCACTTGCTGCATTTGCAGCTGCAGCCGTAAGTATTTCTCTTGATTAGTAACAGCCAGCAGTTTTTGGAAAACTTTTGAAACTTATAGAGCCTTCGCGTCAACCCTGATGAACTCCATGTTATCTGGGACACCATTGAGAAGGATATCAGAGTTCGCCAACAAGAGGCAGAAACTGGAAATCCGCAACCTTTTCGATCCTCTTCGCATTTTGGTCGATGACGCCAAAAACAAATTGTTAAACGACCTCTCGGAAGTTAACGCTCAAGTCCAAGAAGAAATCAGGAGAATCGAACAGGAACCTCATGGTATGTGATGGAACCTCATGGTATTCTTCATAGAAAATTGAGCACAATTCTATGTGGGCATGTTTCCAAACAGGTCACGACATTTCTCGTTGTATCCGATCTGGTGAAGAAGAACTGACTCGCATTGACAACGAATTGATCCAATCCCACCTCGAAGTCTTTGAAAGGATCCAAAGGGAAGCCGAAGAAGAAGTCGACCGGGCAATCAGAATCACCACAGACATTATTGATGAAATCGAAGCATTCGGAGGAAGAGTGGAAAGCTGCAGGGATGTGGAATGCGCTAGTGACTTGGATGTTGAAATCGTCGAATTGTACGAAAGAATCGTCAAAGACTTGGATGGAGCTCTCGAAATCGCCAACGAAGCTGCTTTGATCAAATTGGGACTTGAGCTCGATGAAGCCCAGTTGGACCATGAGAGATACGAAGAGGAAACCCGCCGGTTGGTCCAAGAAGTCAGATCTTGTGCTGATGAGCGCGTTTAAAAACCCTTCTTTTATCATATTGATTGACTGTTATTTATTTTGTGAGGATAAATAGATTTTAATTTTACGTATCTACATGTATTCTTATCCGATCCTACAAAAAAGGCGTTTTGCTTCGATTGAAGACACATTCAGCCCAACCTGTTACAAGCCAGCGCGAAATGTTAGGATCATAAGTTTCTCTCAAAATTCAACAAAAACATAAAGAAATCAGCGTGAAGTCAAGAAAAGGTTACAAAAATTTAAGCATTGCAGAGCTAACTATTTAGAAATACTGTCTGAAATTTAGGAAGGAAAACTGTCGCTGTAAAAGTTAGTTAGCAGGCAAATGCTTATTCAGAAGTACGAAGAACGGTATTTCCAACATTTGATTGGTTGTTTTGAAACCGAGTAGGTCTAGGTATCCTTTAAAGAGACAATTGAAGAAAAATTTAAAATATTTCATGAGAAAAGAGACAACTTTCAGATCTGGTCTCCAGCTTGTGTCCCTTACCTCTAACTTACACAGTCATAAAAGAATGCATATATGCAGAAGACAGCGCTGACCATAATCGTATTAACTTTAAGTTAATTGTTGAGACCCAAATTTTCTTTGCGTCTGCAATAGTGATGGTAAAACTTGCAAAAAAAATCAATCAACACGATTTTATTTCATGAAATCAATTTCTATTTAAAAAACCGTTGCACTTATGAGGCTTTATTCTCCCAACCTTAGGTGGTCTATATCGTACGTATTAGCAGTACCTCTGCTACTTCATAAACAGGAAATACGCATGATCTAATACACTCAAAGTGAAGCACGCAGAATCAAATAACACACACACATATTCCAAATTCCGTAAATAATAAATCGATACCTTCCTTCACAGATTGAATTCCTCTTTAATCTATATTTCCCCTCTTGAACCTTGATCGTAAATGACACAAGTTTATCTTTAAATTATCCATAGTATTCATTCACAGGTTCCAGCTGGTGCAGTTAAACTTAAATTGCAACACAAACTGCAAATATGTTCCAGTTAATAGTATTATTTTCAACAGTTGTTGCTATTGCAGCTTCCAATGTAAGTTTGATTTTAATTTGTTGGAATTTTGTGCGAGTATGGAGCTGATTTCAGAGCCCCAAAGTTAGTCCTGATGAGCTTCGCGCAAAGTGGGCGCTCATGGCAAAAGACCTCAAGGCTCGCCAAGAGGAGGTCAAGTTGAAAATCCGCAATCTTCAGGAGCCTCTGCGCGAGAAAGTGGCTGAAGCCAAAAATAAGTTGTCCTCTGTCGTATCGGATATCCACCAAAATCTTCAAGCCGGAGTGATTGGAATTGAAGAGCGACCTTTAGGTATGGAAGATCTGGAAACTACTAAAAATAAATTTAATTAAAACAACCGTATTAATTTTATTTTGTCCAGATTCCGACTCTAGTATTAATAATGAGAAAGAAGAACTCTAACATAGAAAGACAGACGAAATAATCCAAAAGGAAGCAAAAGAACAACAGCTGAAGCCGCTTTAGTCAAATTGGGGCTTGATGTTGATGAAGCCCATTTGGACCATAAGAAGGACGACGAAGAAGACACTTGTGCTCAGAAATATGTTTAGAAATTTCACGCTGTTTTAATTTAGTTTTAAATGAATAAATATATTTATATTTCACCTACGGATTTCCCTGCTTAGCTCCTACCTTCAAAGCAAATTTGAGAGCAAAAGAGTCTCAACCTAGAGCTGAATATATGACAATGCCAACAAAATTATTCTTGACCATTTGGAAATTGCAGAAGATTTAGGTTGCAGAAGAAGTTTGAGCCTTCAATTATCTTGTAAATAATTTACATCTTTTTACATAATTGCTCAACAGGATTAACGGTTTTTTAAATTTTAATTGAAAAGTGCTCTAGCTTTCTCGGCTCTAGACGCAATATAAGGTTCTGTAGGAAATCGAAGAAGCTGGTCTATTTTTTAAAGGCAGTTGACAAAAATATTTCTCATCGGAAAGTTTACATAATGCGGCTTCGAATGTGATCAACTTTATATGTAAATTCTAAAAATTTAACACTTTTTATCGCCCCTGTTCATTTCTTAGCTACATACTTGGTCAATGTGTTAAACTGTTGCTTTTTTAATTTGTAGTTAGAAAGTTCACTTTCGACCTCGGATCCAGATGGAATATAAGATTATGTAAAAAGCTGATCATTTTTTTTAATGCAGTTAGAGGAAAATGTACCTAATTGAAAAGTTTACAAAATACGGCTTTGAAAGTGATCAACTTTATAAGTAAATTGAAAAACTTGAACTCTTTCCATCGTTCCTGTTCAGTTCTTAGCCGGACGATTTATTTAAGTTTCCTCCAGTTTAATTAACAATCATTTTTTATGTAAAAGTTTTTGAAGAGGACTGCTTTAAAATTGCTATCAACAACCATAGGTTTTATATTGTTCATCTGTCCAGGTGCATTTTTCAAGATATTAAGCTGAAATTTCACTTTGGCTTAGTTTACAAGGTTCTATCCTGGCTAGTCCACTGAGGGACGTTGACACCGGGATTTTGCTTCTTTAGGCCTACGAAATTTTGCAAATTAGTCAACATTATACAATTCAAAATATCGAATTTAAGACCTCAAAAGCAACTGTTTTCACGGACAAAAATACGCAGCAAGAAGCCTTTTAAAAGCGTGAAAACATCACTGGATTGCGATGATTGAGGATCGTTTTTCGTACGAAATATTGAAATTCAAATTAATTAGCACTTTAAACAGGGTTGTAAGATCGCTTCACCAAAATTTGGATAGATTTGGGTTGTAAGTTTTACATAAGTAAATATTCCCCGATTCTAAGAACTTGACGTTCTAAGATTCGTTTTCGAGACAAATTGTTCGCATTCCGTAGATAAAGACCTGGTATTTTGGGAGATAGCATTTCTATTTTATCAACTTTGCCCTCTTAAAGGATGAATATAAATTATACAGCTTTAGCTACCGAAGTCATTCACAGTTCTGATCTTGCATTAGCAAAACAGAAAGTTTCAATAATGTTCAAGTTCGCAGTTGTTCTCGCCGCACTCGCTGCTTTCGCAGCTGCAGCCGTAAGTACCGTTTTATTAGATTGTTCAAAATTTCAAAAGTTTTGCAAAGTTTACAAATTATATGGATATTGATGATTGTGTCTTGGGTCGTGTCATAAAAATCTACGATTTTCAGACCCTTAGGGTAAACCCTGATGAACTCCATGTCATCTGGGACACCATCGAGAAAGACATCAGAGTCCGTCAACAAGAAGCCGAGTTGGAAATCCGCAACCTTTTGGCGCCTCTCAGCATCTTGGTTGATGATGCCAGGGAAAAACTTGCCAATGACCTCCAAGAAGCCAACGCTTTGATCC